GAGTTTAAAACCAGCCTGTGCAACATGTTGAAACGCACCCCCTACAAAACATATAAGAAACTAGCCAGACGCGGGTGGCACATCGCACCCATAGTCCCAGCTACCAGGGAGGCTGAGGTGAGATCACCTGGCTCAGAGGTTGAGGGGCTGCAGTGAGCTGTGAGTATGCCATTGCACTCCAGCCTGGGTGACTGAGTGAGACCCTGTCTCAAACAAAACAAAACAAATTAAATTTTAAAAGGAAATTAAAGAGCCTGGGCATGGTGGCTCACACCTGTAATCCCAGCAATTTGGGAGGCTGAGGCAGGCGCAGATCACCCGAGATCAGGAGCCCGAGACTACCCTCTGAAAACATGGATGAAACCCCGCTGTACTAAAAAAATACAAAAATTAGCCAGGTGTGTGTGGTGGCGTATGCCTGTAATCCCAGCTACTAAAGCTAGGCAGGAGAATCACTTGAACCTAGGAGGTGGAGGTTATGGTGAGTCAAGATCACAACATGGGAATGAAGTTATCTTGGCCCTACAAATTAGACCAGCCACCAGCTGAATACCACAATCAACCTCACCTGGGGCAGAAGAATTGTTCAGCGCTCGCTCCAAATTCTGACCCTCAAAGTCATGAAACCCAATAAAACCCTGCAAAAAAAAAAAAAAAAAAAAAAAAAAAACTCCAGTTGGGTGACACAGCAAGCGAGACTGTCTCAAAAACAACAATAACAACAACAAAAACCAAGAAGTTAAAGAGTAGGTATGATAGAAATTAGAAATGGCCACATATTCTTTAACGCTCATAAAGTAGGTTCTGTTCTCTTCCCATCTTTGAATCTAGGCTGGCCTGTGATTCCTTTGACCAACAAAGCACGGCAAACGTAAGTGATACTACGCTATTTTTGACTCTAGCCTTTAATAAGACTTGCAGCTTCCAGTTTGGCTTCTTGAAACTTGAGTCACTGTGTTAGAAGTCTAATACCCTACTGTAGAGAGGCCTTGAGACTACAGGGAAAGGAAGAGGAGCATGTCTTTACAAGTCAAGACTGTCAAGGCAGAGGCATGTGAATGAAGTTATCTTGGGCCCTACAAATTAGACCAGCCACCAGCTGAATTCCACAATCAACTTCACCTGGAGCAGAAGAATTGTTCAGCAGAGCTTTGCTCCAAATTCCTGACCCTCAAAGTCATGAAACCTAATAAAACCTAGTTGTATTTTCAAACTACTAAATGTTGGAGTAGTTTGTTACACGCAATAAATTACACAAAAATAGGCAGATTTAGGCAAATACATTAAAAAAGAAAGTAAGGGCCGGGCGAGGTGGCTCAAGCCTGTAATCGCAGCACTTTGGGAGGCCGAGGTGGGTGGATCACAAGGCCTGGAGTTCAAGACAAGCCTGGCCAAGATGGTGAAACCCCGTCTCTGCTTATAAAAATACAAAAATTATCCGGGCGTGGTGGCAGGTGCCTATAATCTGTTACTTGGGAGGCTGAGGCAGGAGAATTGCTTGAACCCAGGAGGCGGAGGTTGTAGTGAGCCGAGATTGCTGCACTCTAGCCTGGGTGACACAGAAAGACCCCATCGCAAAAAAAAAAAAAGAAAGAAAGAAAATAAGAGTTCTGGCCGGGCGCGGTGGCTCAAGCCTGTAATCCCAGCACGTTGGGAGGCCGAGACGGGCGGATCACGAGGTCAGGAGATCGAGACCATCCTGGCTAACACGGTGAAACCCCGTCTCTACTAAAAATACAAAAAACTAGCCGGGCGAGGTGGCGGGCGCCTGTAGTCCCAGCTACTCCGGAGGCTGAGGCAGGAGAATGGCGTAAACCCGGGAGGCGGAGCTTGCAGTGAGCTGAGATCCGGCCACTGCACTCCAGTCCGGGCTACAGAGCAAGACTCCGTCTCAAAAAAAAAAAAAAAAAGAGTTCTGCTAAATTAAATTTGGCCTAAGGCTGCTGCTGTACCTTGAGTCCCTCAAGACTGAACAACAATCCAATCTGGTATGTAAACAAGTAGAAAGCTTACGAGTCTATTCTTGTTACATATAGCTGTCTCAGCCATCACAGCTGCCCAGCTTCAGCTAATCATAGGCTGCTAATTGAGCCAACCATGTCCAAATAAGGCAAACACTAAGCTGTAACCAATCAAGCTGTTTCAGTATCTCACTTCCCTTCTCTATCTGTTAATATTCTCTGCCCACAATGTGGAACTCTCTGAATCTCTTCTGGTTCTGAGTGCTATCCTGTTCATGAATCATTCTTTGCTCAAAAAAACTCTGAAAAATTTAATTTGTCTGAATTTTTTTTTTAACATTTCTCATATTACTAGTAAACAAATTTAAGCTGGGCATGGTGGTATGTGCGTGTAGTTCTAATTGCTTGGAAGGCTGTGGCAAAAGGCTTGAGCCCAGGAGTGAGGCTGCAGTGAGCTATGATATATGATCACACCACTGCAATGCGGCCTGGTGATGGCGCGAGACCCCATCTTTAAGAAAAAAAAAAATTAGAGTTTTAGAATAAGAAAACATTGTTTTGGACAAAGAATGTTATTTTTATTGATTGACTGATTGATATATATTTTTGAGACAGAGTCTCACTCTGTCACCCAGACTGGAGTGCAATGGCACAATCTCGGCTCACTGCAACCTCCACCTCCCAGGTCCAAGTAATTCTCCTGCTTCAGCCTCCTGAGTAGCTGGGATTACAGGCGCACACCACCACGCCCAGCTAATTTTTGTATTTTTAGTAGGGACGGGGTTTTGCCATGTTGGTCAGGCTGGTCTCAAACTCCTGACCTCGTGATCCGCCTGCCTCGGCTTCCCAAAGTGCTGGGATTACAGGTGTGAGCCACTGCACCTGGCCTAGGAATGTTATTTTTAAATCAGTGAAGTATGTACTCTAAAAGATAAAAGTCATAAACATTTATGTGAATATTTATATGCTCTTGCCATGGGTGAGACCCTTCAAAGCAAAACACTAAAAGCAGAAAACATAAATGATTAGATTAACAGATCTGAATACATTCAAGATGTGTGTGTGTGTTTTTTTTTTTGAGACCGAGTTTCACTCTTGTTGCCCAGGCTGAAGCACAATGGCTCACTCTTGGCTCACCTCAGCCTCTGCCTCCCGGGTTCAAGCAATTCTCGTGCCTCAGCCTCCCGAGTAGCTGGGATTATAGGCATGCACCACCACACCCGGCTAATTTTGTATTTTTGGTAGAGACGGGGGTTTCTCCGTGTTGGTCAGGCTGGTCTTGAACTCCTGACCTCAGGTGATCTGCCCGCCTCGGCCTCCCAAATTGTTAGGATTACAGGCCTGAGCCACTGTGCCCAGCCCATAAAAGTTTAAAGTCACTGTATATCAAAATATTCCACCATAACCCTAATCTTAACCCTAAACATAATTAAAAACTTAAAAGTGTAGTATACACACACACACACACACGGACGGAAAAATATATCAATGTGAAAATGTGTTGAACTTAAAAGTTTTTATTTATTTATTTATTTTTTAAGTACAAGTACATTAAAGAAGACAGTTACGGCCGGGCGCGGTGGCTCAAGCCTGTAATCCCAGCACTTTGGGAGGCTGAGATGGGCAGATCACGAGGTCAGGAGATCGAGACCATCCTGGCTAACACGGTGAAACCCCGTCTCTACCAAAAAATACAAAAAACTGGCCGGGCGAGGTGGCGGGCGCCTGTATCCCAGCTACTAGGGAGGCTGAGGCAGGAGAATGGCCTAAACCTGGGAGGTGGAGCTTGCAGTGAGCTGAGATCCGGCCACTGCACTCCAGCCTGGGCAACAGAGTGAGACTCCGTCTCAAAAAAAAAAAAAAAGAAAAAAGACAAAAGAAGACAGTTACTGGCTGGGCACGGGTTGAGGGGTGGAGGCAGGCGCATCACTTGAGCTCAGGAGTTCAAAAAGACAATTACTGAAAGGATAACTTTCTGACCTCTCAGAGTTTTGTCAGGCATAGACTGAGCTTGATTCCCCCCATGTATTACTGTCCTATTCTGTGATAATTTGCTGTATCAAATTACCACAAATTTAGAGGCTTAAACAACATAAATGTATTATTATTATTTTTGAGATGGGGGTCTCACTCTGTCCCCCTGGCTGGAATGCAATGGGACACTAATGACTCACTGCAGTCTCAATCTCCTGTGCTCAGGCAATCCTCCCACCTCAGCCTCCCTGGTAGATGAGACTACAGGCACACACTTTCACACATGGTTAATTTTCATATTTTTTGTAGAGACAGGATTTCACCATGTTGTGCAGGCTGCTCTCCAACTCCTGAGCTCAAGCAATCCACCTGCCTTGGCCTCTCAAAGTGCTGGGAATTATAGGTGTGAGCCACTGCACCCAGCCAAATTTATTATTTAAGAGTTCTGGAGATCAGGAGTACCAAATGGGTGAGTAGGGCTGCATTCCTTCTGGAAGCTCTTGAAGAGAATCCCTTCCCTTGCCTTTTCCAGCTTCAGAGGGGCTGTCCACATTCCTTGGTTAGTTAGCACATAGATATCATTGGGGAGGGGGTCATTATGCTGCCTATCACACCTCAGTTCCACAAAGCTGAGTTATCCCAGAGGTCATAGAAGAAACTCAGGAAGTAGGAACCCCAGGACTAATAGAGGCAGCTACTCAAAAGCAGTTCTTACATCCATAGCTAAGTCATTCTGGGTCCAATTCAAGGATCCATTTAGTGAAAAACAAAAGAGATACAAAAATTAGCCAGGTGTGGTAGTGTGTGCCTGTAATCCCAGCCACTCGGGAGGCTTGAGGCAGGAGAATCGCTTAAACTCAGGAGGCAGAGGTTGCAGTGAGCGGAGATGGCTCCACGGAACTCCAGTCTGGGCGACAGAGCAAGACTCTGTCTCAAAAAAAAAAAAAAAAAAAGATATGCCAAAATTATTTTGCTTCTTATTTTAAGGTTGGTGAGAAGGTAAAGTTGTTGTTGTTTTTTTTTAATAGCATCTCTAGCTATTTTCATTTAGTAAAAATGCATTCATTTGGAGGTGATTTTTTTAATTCTTGAAAAGTTGTCCTCTAGAACTGGAATAAGACTTATTCCACGTGGTTGCAGAGGGCAGACCCAGAAGCAGCCATGGGGGAGATATCTGCTCGATTCAAAGAGGATCTTCTCTGACAGTTATCCTGGTTCAAAATGCAGTGAACTACCTCAAAATAAATAAATAAATAAAAATTTTAAAAAAGGAATACAATTAGCTTTATACAAAATTGAGTACAATGTTTCTTTCCTCTTTCATTTTATAGATAGTGAGGAAAATCTGTGTTTAGTACTTAGAGTCTTTAAACTCCCAGTAGATTATCAGATTAATGTTAAGAGTGATGTGAATGCTTAACCAATTTCCACGGGCCCTAAAACGCCTGAATTTAACAGTAAGCCCTCCAAAACTGTTATTTCATATAGATGAAATTTCTAATCACAGACTACCAAGAACTTTTGAAAAATTTAAAGGCTGTCTTCTTTCATAGCATATTCACTTCTTTCTTTTTGAAAAATGAAGCATGATTATGAGGCATGCTCAAAGACAGCTCAGTGGAGGATGCAGAGGTTTTTGCTCTCTTTAACACTGGGTTCAAGACCCAGGCCGTCGGGCGCGTTCTTTAAACTCCCTTTGCTTCAATTACTTTTCGGAGTCTAGGTGCCGTTACCTTTTGGCAATCCGACGGAGAGAGAAGCAAGCAGGGAGACAAGGTGATGCATGCTGCCACGCTGGCCCCTCACCTCTGTCATCACAGGACGTTATGGGTTCCTCTGAGACGAGTTTTTCCCTTATAAGGAGGCAGTGGTGGGGTTTCTCGTCGGAAAGTTAGCCCTGCTTGTAGGAAAGCAGAACGAAAGATTTGTGTGAAAGACTGTAGATCAGCCCGTCTTTCGACGATAGCATTCTAAAGCAAAAACCTTGACAGGACAGAGGTGAAAGAAGGTGACATCCGTGACAGGAGGTAGGGAGGGAAGCTCAGGTCAGCTCAGTGCAGGGGAATAGTGTTGGTAAGCAGCATCCTGGACCGCCGCGGGAATATCTTGGAAATTCTTAAAGAGAACTTACTTTTTGCTCTCTGTGGTCCGGCGGCCATTTTTTCCGACTGGCTGTGGGTAAACGAGCAGCCCCTGTTGGCTCCGAGGGTAATAACAGCTTTTCGCAGAGACGTTTTGAAGATGCGCCGGTAGGGGGCAGGGATGAGGTGGTTGCAAGTCCCCGAGCATCCCGTCAACTGGTGAGTTTTAACGCTAAAGGAAACGTAAAATAGTGGATAAATAGAAGCGTGGAGAGAGAAAGCCGACTATAAACCTCAGTAACATCTCTCCATATATTTTTGCCTTTACAGGAAGAGTGGGCTCGTTTTTAAATGCGCACATTAGTATGCCTCTTAATTCGTATGAAGCTGAAAGGAGGCAAACTTCTTGACGCTATCCACTTACAAAGGTACTCTTAGTGAGTGAGGAGGGCAAAAGAGACAGGGTCTCGCTATGTTGCCCAGGCTGGAGTGCAGTGGCTATTCACAGGCGCGATCCCACTACTGATCAGCACGGGAGTTTTGACCTGCTCCGTTTCCGACCTGGGCCGGTTCACCCCTCCTTAGGCAACCTGGTGGTCCCCCGCTCCCGGGAGGTCACCATATTGATGCCGAACTTAGTGCGGACACCCGATCGGCATAGCGCACTACAGCCCAGAACTCCTGGGCTCAAGCGATCCTCCCACCTCAGCCTCCCTAGTAGCTGGGACTACAGGCACGCGCCACCGCGCCCGGCGGGTGGAAACGCTGCGAAAAGCTACTAGAAGCTACAGTGCGGTGACGTCATCGGGGGAGGGGCTGGAGGGGGGCCCAAGCCCGGCGACGTAGCTTGGACACACCCACACTGGGCGGTCTGGAGGCTACGTTCGTGTGGCGTCATCTGAGCTGGCGAGCCGTTAAGCCTTACAGGGTTGGGACCCCGGATGCTACAGGGGCAGTTGCGGCCACGGCTCCCGGTGTTTTGATCCGAACACCGCGTTCCTGCTTAACAGAAATTGGTCAGTATGCGCTTAATGCTCATAGTGTGGCGTCCGGACACGCAGCGAGAGAAAGAAAAACGCAATAACCTGGTCCCTCAGCGTTGCTTGCTTCAGCAGGCCTTAAATATATGCTTCATCTTTTGGGGGACGTTACTTAAGGGGCAACCATTTGGCTCGAAATCTTCCATTATTTTCAGCAAGCATTTAGAAGGTGACTGCATTATAAGGAGAATAACCCACAGTAGCAGAGGTTGGGAGTCTGCATGGTGCCGAGGCCAGCTCAGTCTTCACTATTTGAATGAAGGAAACCTGGGGCAACTGTTTTGTTTTCTCTGCCCTGCATGTTAGTTGCCCGTTGTTTTTGGAGAAAAAACTAGTATCGGGTATATTGGTGGAAAAATTTGGATTTGGCAGCCCGAAGTCTTTTTTGAGACAAACTTAGGAAGGGATAGAGAGGAGGAAAGAAAAAATTTTCGACTATAGTAGATCTGCAAAGGCAGACCTTCTATTAGTCCTCTATCTATAGTCTTTCCCTCACCCCCCACCCCTTGTCTCCTAAAAACCAGTCCAGACTTTCCCCTCCACCTCCGTCCTTGTAGCAGATAGCTTTGCTCCCTCCTTCATGGATAAATTGAAGGCCATCAGACAAAAACTTTTCAATTCCTCCTACTCTCCCCACTCTAAATTTATTTATCTTTACAGCTTCAGAGAACAGCACCCTTCTGTTTTCCCCTCCTGCCTCAAACCCAATAGGTCAAAATTCTTCCATCAATCATTTTCACCCGTCCTGTCTCTTTCACTTAATACAGATTCCAAGCTGCGTTTCTTCTTAAAAAAAACGCCTTTGACCTTGTCTGTTTTTCTAAATGAAAGCTGTCTGTTTTCATGGCTGCACTTCTTCAAACCATATTCAACAACAACTACATTCGCTTCTTAACCTTCTGTCTTCAGTCCATAGCCAACCAATCCACTGAAACGATTCTAGCTAAGGCTGCAATACCCAAGCCGCCTAACTGGCAGGTCTAAGGAACCCTTTCTGACATGGCTGACATAATTTACCACCAATCTCTGTCACTTGTGACTGCTATTTCCTCCCTGAACATTTCTTCTACCTGGTTCTTGTTCACAGCCCCTGATATTTCCTCCCAGGCTGTCTCTTCTGCCCACTCAGCAAATGTTTTTGTTCCTTACAGTTCCCTCCTAAATGTTCTCTGTTCTCTCACTATGTTCTTCATGAGTGATCTAATCAATTCTCAAGGCTTTCAAATCTATAGTTCTAATCTGATGCTGTTTCCAGAGCTTCAGATTCACATTTTTAGTTGCCTTCTGGATGTCACGAAATAATTCAAAACTTCAAATTCAGTATTTGCAAACAAAACTGATCTTCTCTTCTTCCTCCAAACTTGCTCAGTTTTCCTTTTTATCAATATGTTTGTTTGTTTATTTATTTATTGAGACAGAGTCTTTCTTTGTTGCCCAGGCTGGAGTGCAGTGGTGCGATCTTGGCTCACTGCAACCTCCGCCTCCTGGGTTCAAGCAATTCCCCTGCCTCAGCCTCCTCAGTAGCTGGGATTACAGGTGCCCACCACCGCGCCCAGCTAATTTTTGTATTTTCAGTAAAGTTGGGGTTTCGCCATGTTGGCCAGGCTGGTCTTGAACTCCTGACCTTGTGATCCATCTGCCTCAGCCTCCCAAAGTGCTGGGATTACAGGTGTGAGCCACCGTGCCTGGCCCATCAGTATGTTTAGTTGCTTACTTCAGAACTCTCAGAGTCATCCTTGACTACTGTTTCATTCATTTAATACCAAATATTTACTTTTTACTTATCCAATGACAGGCACTGTACTAGGTGATAGAGATGTGGTGGTGAAGAAAAGAGACACGGTGGAAGAGACAGACAAAAATTTAGCAAAAAAATTATAATTTCAAACTGTGATAAGTGCTGGTGAAGGAAGCACAGTACTGAGATATAAACAATGGTGGTAGGAAGCAGGTGGGGCACCAGGTTTCGAGAATGTAGTCAGGTAAGCCTCTTTTAGGAGGTATTATTTAAATTAGAGCCTGAAGAATAAGGCATCGGTTAAGGTACATTGATTGCAAACGAGGACTGTCTGTAAACTGAAGTAAACGAACCTCTCTAGGAAATTCAGAAGAAAGAAAGTTATCTCAAGCAAGCTGGTCAGAAGAAAATGGGCTGATAATGAAATGTTAGTTGTCCCCCAAAGTCGGTTCTCCCCTTTTACAACGCTAATACATTGCTACTTGGGCACATGAAATCCCAGCTAGAGACCATACTGGCCGGATTTCCTTACAACCAAGTGTGGTCAAGTTCTCACCAATGGAATATGAATGAAAGTTGTATGTGCACTCTGCATCACTTGCTTAAAAAGAAATCGGTTGCCCTCTACTTTCGCTCTTTTGCCCTTCTCCAGCGCTAGGTGGCGCCAGTGCAGATCCACCACAGTGCCCTACCTTTAACCATGCAAATTAGGAAAAATACCAAGGGTCAAGAGGAAAGAAGGGGCAAGATTGGAAAACAAAACAAAAAACAAAACAAAAACCAACGAAACCAAACCAAAATAAAACCTAAACAGACAGAAAGCAGAGTCCATGGAAGAGTTAATGAAGCTGATCCACTCTATAGCGTCTACCACTCCTACCTCTGGACTGTTAGATGAGAAATAAGTTTCCATCTCAAATCACTATATTTTGCGGTCTTTTTATTATTACAGCATACTCTGTACTCTAATAGAGGGAGGTTCACAGAAGAAAATCCTGGATAAGCAGAACTCAGAGCAGGAACCAAAAGAGCTCCGGGTATCTACAGGGCACCCCAATGGGATGAACCATCCTCAGTATCCTCTAAGAAGAGTCTGATTTTCTAGTTTGAGTTCTGTATTATTCTACAATCTGTATTTATATGCATACCTATTTTTATTTTTATTTTTATTTATTTATTTATTTATTTTTTTTTAATGAGACGTAGTTTTGCAGTAGTTGCCCCAGCTGGAGTGCAATGGTGTAATCTCGGCTCAAGGCAACCTCCGCCTCCCAGGTTCAAGTAATGCTCCTGCCTCAACCTCCCAAGTAGCTGGGATTACAGGCACGCGCCACCACGCCCGGCTAATTTTTTGTATTTTTAGTAGTTTATTAGTGTCTTAGTTTAACAGTTTAGTTTCACCATGTTAGCCAGGCTGGTCTCCAACTCCTGATCTCAGGTGATCCACCTGCCTCGGCCTCCCAAAGTACTGGGCTTATAGGCCGTGAGCCACCGCGCCCGGCCATGCATACCTATTTTTATTATGATTATGTTGTAAATAAAACATCTGTGTCCCGCTTTTCTTTCCCACATGTCACTATGCTTTTGGTGGCAGTATAATCTTTTATTGTTGTTATTATTTGAGACAGAGTCTCGCTGTGTCTCCCAGGCTGCAGTGCAGTAGCACGACCTCAGCTCACTGCAACCACCACCTTACCGATTCAAACGATTCTCCTGCCTCAGCCTACTGGGTAGCTGAGACTACAAGCAGGCGTCACCACACCCAGCTAATTTTTGTATTTTTAGCAGAGACGGGGGTTTCACTATGTTGGCCAACCTGGTCTGGAACTCCCGGTCTCAGGTGATCCGCCCACCTCGGCCTCCCAAAGTGCTGGGATTGCAAATGTGAGCCACCGCTCCCGGCCAGGTGGCCCTATAATCTTTTGACTTGATGCATCACAATTTATGACTATTTAAATTGAACCACTATCAGTCACACTAATCACCACTTTACCATTCTATATATTTCACCTGTATTGTTTTGTGAATTAGTGATCGGCATAATATCCAGTGCTAAGTCAGCTATGCACAACCTCGAATCAGTCGTTTGCTTTTTCTTGAGACATAGTCTCGCTCTGTCGCCCAAGCTGGAGTGCAGTGACACGATGTCAGCTCGCTGCAAGGTTCACCTCCCGGGTTCATGCCATTCTCCTGCCTCAGCCTCCCCAGTAGCTGGGACTACAGGCGCCCGCCACCTCGCCTGGTTAATTTTTTTTGTATTTTTAGTAGAGACGGGGTTTCACCGTGTTAGCAGGATGTTCTCGATCTCCTGACCTCGTGATCCCCCAGCCTCAGCCTCCCAAAGTGCTGGGATTACAGGCGTGAGCCACCGCGCTCGGCCAGCCGTTTGCTTTTTAACAGTGGAAAGGACAAAGCCGTGTCCGGCTGTATGGGGCTTTGCTTGTTCAAAATGTAACCTCTATACAGCTGCGCGCAGTGGCTCACGCCTGTAATCCCAGCACTTCGTGAGGCGCCGACAGGCGGGTCACTTGAGGGCAGGAGTTCGAGCCCAGCCTGGCCAACATGGCAAAAACCCATCTCTACTAAAAACACAAAAATTAGCCTGGCGTGGTGGCGCTCGCCTGTAGTCCCAGTTATTCAGGAGGCTAAGGCAGGAGAATCGCTTAAACCCGGGAAGAGGAGGTTGCAGTAAGCCGAGACGTGTAACTGCACTCCAGTCTGGGCAGCAGAGCAAGACTCTGTCTCCAAAAAAAAAAAAAAAAAAAAAAAAGTAACCTATATGGAAGTTAATTTTGTGGCACTGAACAAAGTAGGTAATAATCTCATCTCAAATGGGAAGTCTCACTCTGTCTACAAAAAACTCCATGCCATGGAGCTCAAAAGTTTATAAATTAGTCCTTTGGAGACGTTAAACAAAGAGCATAGAGTCATACGAAAAGGCTTTCTGCCCTGGTAAGGAAAGAAGGCTTGTGGGCAGGTTGAGTCTGGTCCTTCAGTTCTCAGCTTTCACCAGGGAAGGGGTACCA